TACCATTTATCCACATAACCCGAAAAACCACTATCAAGATAAAACGCCAATAATGAATAAATGTATGCAGAGTCATCTTTAAAAATAAATAACAATGAAATAGGCTGAGCATGGTGCTCAAGCCTATAATCCCCGTAGTTTGGGAGGCTGAGGCAGGAGGATGCTGAGGCAAAGAGTTTGAGATCAGCCTGGCAACACAGTGAGACCCCATCTCTATAAAATACAAAATTAGTCAAGGTGTTGTCCCTGTGCCTATACCCCAGCTACTTGGGAGCTGAGGCAAGAGGATCATTGAGATATCCGAGTTTGGGACTTCAAATGAGCTATGATCATGCCACTGCATTTCTAGCCTGGTGACAGAGATTCTGTCTCTAAATAAATAGATAATAATCAACAAAACAAAAATTCTTCCCCTACCATGAACATCATGAAAATATCTCTTACTTTTCCTTTAAAAGTTTTACTTTTCATAATGGGTTTTAATACATCTGGGAATTTTGCAGGTAGAGTATGATGTAAGGATCTAATATATTTTTAAATTGATAACCAATTCCCAGCATCATTTTTTGAACTTTTTATTTGAATATTTCAAATCTGTAACATTCTTGTATGGATTCATCAATTTTTGACATTTTGAAAGTAATATTCTAGAGTAATTGCTATCTTCCAGTCCTAAACCCTTTAGCATATCTCTCCTAAGACAAGGACACTGCCTCACATAATCAAAATGCAACTATCAAATTAAAGAATCTAAACTGATACAATATTATCTAAATATGCAATCCATATGCAAATTTTCTAATTATTCCAATAATTTCTTTATAGATTTTAAAAAAAAAACAAAAAAAGTAACAACAGAATAACAACAATTCTAAAATTAATTATTTAAGCCTCCTAACAATCTACGATGAAAGCAAGTGCCAAAAATGAGTCACTAACAGGTTAAATAACTTACCCAAGATCTCACAACTAGTAAGTGAAACCTGTCTCCAAAATCTCTCTACTTAAATATTTTGTGCTATTACCTCTGGCATGGTATTCAATCCAGTGGGCCCTAGAGTTATAATTCTTGCTTTCTAATTCTACTTCTGCCACTTTCTAAAACTGTAACCTTAACTTCCCTCTAATTTAGTTTTCTCATCTATAAAACAAGGATTAAAGTGCTTAGAAAAGTACACATAGTAAATGCCCAATAAATTACAGTTATCATCAAATTAAAAATATTTGCCAATCTAGCAGCATGAAATGACTATAGTTTTACAATCTTGATGTAGTTGAAATCTGCACTTTTTATCACAGTAAGACCACAACTTTTTCTCGTTTCATTGGACATTTTGGTTTCCTGTCCTTTAAACTACTTATTCCGATTCTTTTTATTACTGGATTATTTATAAAATCTGGATACTACTCTTTATGAATTATATTGGGACTACAGGCATGCACCACCATGCCTGTAGTTT